TATATTATATTACATTATATCATATTATATCATATGTATATATTGAGTTACAACAGTGTCTCTCTCTAGTCAAAGGCGAAGCTCAATTTGAATCATACATTATGCGCACTCAGCTAACTCGATTCGAATCGCTTTAAACGTTCGAGGCGATGCGTCATAGGATTCACTAGAACCAATAAAATTTACTTAAAAATAAAAAACAATAGATCGAACTTTAAATACCCTCTACTTAAAAGAGCTGGCATAAAATAGATTCTTTGTCAAGAAATTATTAGAATTCTAAACTATTCTCTTTGCAAAAGTATGAATAAATATCTATGTAATCACTATCAATTTATCTCTCACGATTAGATGTAGCTCTTATGGCATATGTGTCTAGAGAGCAAAAGAAGAAGAAGAAGCATAAGAAACAGTCTTACTGCACTAACTAATTTTATGGGAGTTTATTCTTATTGTACAAGCTGATAAGAAATTGCTATAATATAAGCATGATTTGATTCTTGTCGATAATATTTTAAATTTGTATTCATGCCGTTAGAAATGATATAGTTCAAAAAATCGAACTTAACTTTAATATTAGATTCACCAATATAAGGCAATATGTATACATATATAAGGTATGATTGGGTTGAAAAACCTTAATGACAATATATATTGAATATTTCAAAATAAAATTTCATCGATAACTTGCACAGTTGCTCAAATATAGTTATCGAAATTAGTATCAATCGCCAAGCTGAAGTAAGCCTGAAGATTAAAAACTTAAAGATAATTTTTAGTTATCTAAGTCAAACAAATTATTATGGCACATGTTATATATACGATAGTTGTATATACATATGTACATACATACACATATATATATAGGCTCGGCTAGCTGTCATTATTTAGACTTGAAATTGCTTTATCAAATATTGAGAAATTTATCATTGATGGCCTAACGTGTCTCTCAGTCCAAGTACTCAATGAAAGAGTATATAATCTACATTCATATATAAAGTGAAGACGTCATCGTGTGCTCAAATACGATTAAACGTTTAGTCTTATGTCCGACTGAGATAAAATTGTTTTTTTTTTTTAAAGCTGGGCTACTTGAAATCGATTGAAACTTTTGCGCTTGGCCAGCAGCTGTGCTACCAATTTTGGTAGCTGGCAACTGGGATGGCTTACTACTGTTCGGTGGCCTATATAGAAATGTCATCTAGATTAAAATACATACAAATCTGTATGTATGTATGTATGTTTGCCTAAGCACTAAGCATGACACATTCCGTGAAACTTGTTCGATTTCAGCTTAAATATGAATCAAAGCACTTTAGGCCAGATTATGCAAATTGGCAGCTGGTTGACGGAATCGCTTTTGGCCCGATTGGGCATGTATATACGGCAGCTGCCACAAGGTCAAAAGGCCGAAGAGTGGGCGTTCAATAATAATACAAATTGAAGGAAATACCTAAAATTTGTTTATCATATATCATATGTAGATATACATACATACATACATATATATATATATCTATGTATGTATGTATGTATGAATATTTGTACAACTTTAGCTGATCTCAGCTGGCTGACAAATGTCATTTGAGCTAATTAGCTCATAAGCAGTTCCGCCGTAAATCTGCCGATGTGACATGATAGATTAGCCTAGTTTAGTGCCTAGTCTTTATAGAGCCTAAGCGATCTTGGGTAATTCGTTAACTGAAACAAGCTGAGCTAAGAGTTTCAGAAGCAATTGATAAAACCTGACATAAAATAGAGTTTCTATAATTGTTCCCTGACTAAAATAGATACGTAAGTGCGATCGTTAACAAATCTTTGCAGTTTAACTAACCAGAGTGTAAATAGGAATTATAAACTTGTTCTCGCACTTCACTTCACGTTCAGTTTCAGTTATTGTCAAGCATTTACAGCTTCTTGGGTGTACTTGGAACTGCTCATTTAAATAAATATTACCCAGCTGTGAGAGTGTTACAAACTTCCATATAAGTAGAGTAGTAATGAACTACCATAGATCGTCGAACGATATTCAAACCACTCAAGTCCCTATTTGCTCATTAGGAGCCCTTAGCCCATTGAAAGTACCAAGTTTTTGTTCGAGTGTATGTAATTGGTAGTGGAAGGCAAGATTGAGCTCCTTAAGCAATGGAATGAATATGATATGTTGTTGTATCTGGATCATTATCTGTATCATAATCTGTCTATAAAGACTAGAAAATGTATGTCTATGTATATAGTTTTTGACGTAATATTATTGATGAGTAAAATTTAATATCGACTTTAATCGATTTCAGGGAAGCCAAGTTATTCAGTCTATGTCATCACCCATCAGGTTTATCTTACATCATTTTCATTAAATCGATCAAAATCGATATGAAATTTGATTACATATCAATAATATTTCATATTGATAAATACAGTTATTTAAAGTATAACTATATACAAATTATTCATATATTCTCCACAGATCAGAAGTAGTGGGAGCTGGTGGATAAAGTCGAGTAACTAATAGACTATCGAATAAAGAGAAATGGAATTTGGTTCTTGAGAAATTGATGAAGAATAAACGCATAAACATTTAATTGTTGATTCTCTTATTTAAGGTCTTTTCAATTATAATAAACGAATGGAATTAACGGAAGGCCCCATTATACTTGCGATATTTATATTGTATGATGTGAATAACTCACGTATTCTTAAACGTAAAAATCGCATAAAAATCTAAAAATAATACCACGAACGGCATGAGCTGTAGAGTATTTACTAGCTGGACATTCCCAGCCAGAGCATACGCACTTATTATATGATCATAAAAAATTGAAACATAAATTGTTGAAAATTTTTTAAATATTGTCATCAACTCAATCATTTCTACCTAGGCCTGTAGGGAGAGATTTAGAGTTTAATTACTTTATATATATATGTTAAATTCGATAAAGAAAATTAAATTTAATTGATGTAACTTTTCCCTGATAAGAGCATTGAGCAGAAAACTTTAAGAAGAACATCTTGCACCATCATATGACTTTTATAATAATTATTATAATAAATTTAAAATTCTAAGCAGTTCTCTCGCTGATTTCACATAGAGCTAACCAAACCAATTGCAATATGATAATTTCCTACACTCATCCGATTCATGTCGAACTAATAACTTTGCTTAGTCAAAATGCCCCGGCTGAGACTCGGATTTATTGGCATTTTGCCTATTGTGCCGGAAGTAAACACTTCAAATAGAACTCAAGCCGAGGGATTTTCCAGTGACGCCGACTTTGAATTTATTTTTTTTTTCGTTTTCGCTTTATTTATTTATTATTTGTTGTTGTTATTGTCGTTGAATATATATTGCTCACGTAGCGTACTTAATGCATTTTTTATGTCTTGTCTTTGTGTTTTATTAAAAAAAAAAAATGAGAAAAAATAAGAAAAAAAAGCAAACAAAAACAAAAAAATTGATTTTGAAGCGTTTTGTTTACATTGAATCGCTGTCTCCACTTGGCCCTTGGGCACTCACCATTTTCTAGTTAACGTTCTTAAGAACAACGAAAGAATTGATATCAATTATATATAAATATATATGAGTATATTTGATTTGTCTTTAAGTATTATTTAATAAAGAATATTATGTGAAATATTTATGCCACTCGTAGCGTTAAATTTGAACTGAAGCGCCTGCTAGACGGACTTGGGCTATTTATAAGTCTGTCCAGGCCAGGCAAACGCCTCCGTCTCCAACTCAGTCTCAGTCTCAGTCTCAGCCACTCGCTCTCTCATTCTCCAAAAAGGTCGCTGAGAACAGCTGAGAATTGAGACAATGTTGGCGTCATCTAGACGTCAGCCAGCGACTCAGTTGACTTGACAAACTTGGGCCTCTGTTTGCCACAGTCGGAACTGCTTTTTATTGTCGTTCTGTTTGGCTATTGATGCGCATTCGTGTTGCGAAAGGGGTATATTGGCTTGAGCATACCTTTAAATATGCCATACCTACTTGTGCCACTCCCTAATAACTCTCGAGAGCTGTCTGATTCGAGAGACTTGTCGGAGCGTGTTGAACAGTTGGCTACTAATTCTAGAAGTTCTTTGAAGGTATGACATATTAGTTAAATGATTATTTTTACGATAGATTTAGAGCTAGGATCATCTCTATAAATATACCCAAAAGTTCAAAGAGTTTTTTTTTTTATTTTTATTTTTTTTTTATATTGCTCTAGTCTAGCAAGTTCTTTGAAGGCGTAGAATTCGGACTAAAAAAACTCTATTTGCTACACTTGAGATCATCTTGCAACAAGTCCATGATTTATAATTTATTATTAGCATCTTTTAGCAAAATTTAGCTATTTTTGGCGGGTATTTCGTAGTCGGTCACAACCAATTGAGCTGCTTTATTGTTGTTTTGAGTTTTAAAAATCACATTCGCTGTTTCTTTGCGAATATACAGTCAGTCAGTTAGTCCGTCCGTCTCCCCGTCTGTCAGTCTGTCCGTCATCCGTCTTTACTTGTTCATTCATTAAAGCAGGTGAAGCGCCCAGCTTAGCCATTGGGTTATTTATAAGCGCGTACTTGACAACTTTTGACTGGTTAGGCTAGGAGGTTCTCATCGCATGCGTGGGCGTCTTTACTTCGCATTGTTTGTATAATAAACTCAGAACTGGCTTTGTGCCATCTAACACCTAATAAGACTAATTGTTATATCAACCTATGTACATTTATATACTATACGCTTATATACTA